GCCTTGTACGTGAGAGTGAAAATCTTGAACCTAGTCTGAGACTCCATAGGTAGTCAGTGGAGGTGAGCCGGAACTGGGGTGATGCAATCAGATCTGCTCGCACCCTTTAAGCTGCAGGAAAGCCACATTCCCTTCCTGCAACCTTTGTGTAGCCACCAGTGGAGGTCCCCTGGAGTTTTGGGTCTGGGTATCATTATGCTGATCATTTGGGAGAAGATTTCTGTGACATTTCACATGTTCTCTGCCCACAAGCAAGTTTAGACATGTTTATGAGTAATCTGGCCTATCTCACCAGATTATTCATAAACATGTCCAAACCCATTTAGAAGCTCAGACATAGGTGGTTGGAAAAAAAAAAGATGACATGTCTTAGAAATCCTCCCCCTACCAATCATCATACTCTTCTCTAGCTTTCTCTTTCTTTCTTAAACTGATGTGAAGAAAGCCGTGAAGCTCAGGCCAGATAAGAGGGAGGTCTTTTTGGACAGTTGGCCGGTGAAGCTGGGATTTGGATGTAGCCTGTTGTGAGGGGGTGGTATCACCTCTGGAAGACCAGGTGTGTAGCTTGAGGGTGCTGTCAGATCCAGCACTGCTTCTGGAAGGTCGGAAGGCAACAGTGGCAGGCCAGAAGGCAGCAGGGAGCCCTTACCCCGTTTAATTTGATGTGTCAGCTGCACGCTTTCCTGAGGAAGTCGGCTCTGGCGAGCCTTCGTATCAGTGATTGAACTGAAATTCTCAGGGATACACGCTGGCTGCGTTCAAAAGACATAGCTGTACCCATGGTGGAGAGGACCTGCTATGGAGCTTTTAAAGAGGAAGATCCTAGGAGGAAGAAAAGCAGTGGCGACTCTAAATTCATCACCACAGATGTAGTATGGATGCCAGACCAGTTTATCAGTTAACCTCCGAAGCCTCTATGCCTTGGATAAATGAATTCGGTTGTTTTCCTTTCTTCAAAATTCATTTTTAAAAAAAACCCACCAAAACAAGTTCTTTCTATTGAGTATTTGAAGAATTTCAAAAATTTACAGAAATTCTTGTAATAAAATGAACCAAATGAAATTCTTGCCCATCTGTGTTTATGTCACCCATTTTGAAAGCTGATGTACAGTAATTTATGCCAAGGCAGGCAGTGGAAGCAACTCCTGGGGAAACACAAGATTCAGACTAATTTTGGGCTGTTTCCTATTATGTTCACAGTTCAGTTTTGTCATCTTGTACCTCCCACCAGAATAAGATTTCTGCCATCACGATCGATGAACAAACCAAGATAGGAGTATGCCTGTTTAACTTTGAGTTCTACAGGTAGAAGGCATTTGGGAGTATGGTCATACTTTATCCTTTGGGCATAACTCATAGATATCATGGATCCATCTTACACGTTTCTAGGGTCAGACTAACTTGTGGATGATGGGAAGTGGAGATGGGCACGAATCTTGGGAGGTTTGTGCTGGTTTGTACACTTCAGGTGCCACCTATTCCCTTCCACCGCCTCCCCAGCTGAATCCATACACACACGCATACACCAGCCAGCACATGTTCCTCTCCTCCTCCAGCAGGAACATGCCCCACCTCCTTGGCTGATCGGCCACTCAGACCAGGAGGCAGGGCAGGCAAACCCATGATCCTCTCGGGAACTGGTTGAACACCTGAAGAGGAGGAGAGGAATGCGCTCTGGCTGTCGAGTGGGTCATTGGCTGGGGAGTCGGGAAAAGAGAATGCGCGGCACTGAGGTTTATGACTAATAGGAAGAAATGATGTTCCATATGCATCACAGAGACTAAAACTCAGGGGCTAGAAGACTCCATGTTTGAAGAGGACAGCAGCTCTGGGGATGGAGTGGTTTCCTGAGCCCTGCCAGACTTTGGCTTCTAGTGATGCCTGCTAGAGATCCTGCCCCCAAAAATTCCTTTTTACAGGGCTTTGTGCTTAATCAAGGGGTTGCGGAATGGCCCCTTGCCTGAGCGATAGCCAGGGAGGAGTCACGTACAACATAGACTGTTCAGCAGCACATTCTCTGGCAGCAGTCTACTAGCCAGGATAAGTTCATCATCTAAATACAGTGGTGCCTCGCTTAACGGGTGCCCCGTTTAACGATGAAATTGCATAGCGATGAAGATTTTGCGATCACAAAAGCAATCGCATTGTGATGTTTTAAATGGGGAAAAATCGCTTACCGCAAAGCGATGATTTTTTAACAGCTGATTGGCGGTTCCAAAATGGCCGCTGGGGAAAAAAATGGCCACCCACTGTTTTCTGGGACGGATTCCTCGCTTACCGGGCAGCGAAAATGGCTGCCGTATGGAGGATTTTCGTTTAAAGGTGAGTCTGAAGCACATAGGAACGCATTGAAGGGGTCTCAATGCATTCCTATGGGCTTTTTAAAATCGCATAGCGACGAAATCGCTTTGCAGCGGTTTTTGCTGCACCGATTATCATCGCTATGCGAGGCACCACTGTAGTGTCCTTTCCACTGATAAGAAAATTAGGCTCCTGAAATTTGAATTAAGTAGGAAAGAACAGCGTGTAGAGTGGGTGAGGGAGCATCACACTCATTCTATAAATCTGCAAGTTTTAGATTTGCCTGTAGAGCAAAATGTTGGAAGTATTATACATTCCACATGTGGTTTAGTAATAGCTTTTAAATCAAGGGATCCATGTTCAGGTTTGCTTTAGCACTGAGGTGTCAGACTTCAGGGTGTCCACTAGGTGTCACTGTTGTTTCTCACTTGTCAATACTCTCCTTGAGCAAAAGACTCAAGTTCAGAATTTCTGTAAGTTTTCTGAATTTTCCTGACTCACCTCCAGTCTTTCTTCTTCCTGATTTACAATCAGTAATTCAAAGCAAAAAAATTGTCAGCTTGACTGTGTGTGATAGAATAGTCCAGGTTATTATTTCTTTTAACAGCAAGTGCCAAAGAGAGCCATTGGTATATTCAGAGGAAACACATGATTTGTACAAGTATGCATTTAAGATGAAATAAAGCAAATGTTTTGAGAGGATAGCTTTCCACCCCCACTCCAGCCCAGCCAGGATTGAGCACGCTTCGTGGCTATGTGATGTTTAAGTATAAGCTGGAAAAGGAAAAAAGAGCAAAGCTAGAAGAGGATAGAAATAATCTTTCTTGAATTTCTAGCAATTTCTGGTGTCTTAGATTAAGTTTTCGCAAAATATATGTATTTCCACCAAATTCAATGCAATGGCACTTTTTAAATAGTTCTCTCCTTAGGTTGTGAGAGGGGATGATGTCATCCTCTGTGAAGTGTTTGACTTGAAAGGCTCTAAATGGTGCAAATTTGACTCAGATTTTGTATCATGAATACTTTGGCTGCTCCTCATTTTGCCTTGTCTGATAGAGCGACGATCTAATTACGAGATTATGTTGTTAAATGATATCTAGGCAGTTCAGCAATGCAATCAGTTAAAGAGTTAATATAGTCTGTTGTGGACAACCGTGGAACTTTATTTTAAACTCTACTTTTGCCTCCTTCCAATACTGCAAAAAGGGTGGCATTTCCATAAATGTCACAGTGACATCCGTGTAACCACACTGAAATGTCAGATCGGTTTGAAAGCTCTCTTTAAAGTTAGCAAAAGAAGCGTGTGCTGAGATATGGTTGTGTTCAGCTGAGTTTTTCAGTCTCTCCAATTCAACTGCTATGAAAATTAGGAGGTTTTCAGACCAAAGTGGTCCTTATGGGCCTAATTTGTCACCCATTTATCTGCATTTAGTTGAGCAAGTGTGTGCGTTTGTGTGCCTCCTATGTTTTGTGAACAGTGGCTTGTCTTTTACCACAAGATCCAGTGCATGCCTTTTCTAGACCTTAAAGATTTGCTTGGCTTGCTTAGGGACAAAGGTCTCTGCAGTAGATTTGTAGTTTATTATGTTGGAGTATATTATCTATGGAATATTATCCATCAAGGATCTAACAGCTTTCGCTGAGTTGGAACTTTGACTCAGCTAATATTCCTATAGGGAACATTTTTATTGGCCAAAGTCTTTATTTTCCCTTGGAGTGCCTTATTTCTGTATCGTCCGGTGTGCAAATATGAAGTGTCCGTTTTGGCCACGGTTGGTAGGGGAGTGCAGTAAGGGAAAGTGGAATATATGATCCTCCAGATGTTGTTGAACCAAAATACCCATCGTCCCCCCACCATGCTGTGCTGGCTTGGGTGGATGGGAGCTGCTGAGCAAATACATGTGGGGTGGGAACATATCTCTTTAGGCTCTGCTCTTCCTGTAAGGCTATATGGTTTGAAGAAATGATTTAAAATTGCATGAGGCCCCATTGAAGGAACCAGGCTATTCATTAATATCTGTGCTTTTTCTGTGCGGGCACCAAGTTAGAACTGTGGTATGGGATGGTAAGGAAGGGCATGAGTAGATCTGTATTTATATTATTTCTGTCCTCCCTTTCCCACCAGAGTGGTTCTCCAGGCAGCTAATCATATTTAGGAGCACTCATCAGATACATCTCAGGGGTCATGACGAGAACCTTCAATTTTCTACCATCAGCCACCAGAAATGGGGAGTGAAATACAGAGAATTGGCATGCAATAGTCAAGAACCATCCATTAGCTCAGGGCTAGGGAACATAGCACCCTCAAGATGTTGGTGGTAGTTGGTCTGGCTCTCTCTCTCTAGCCCCCCCCTCCCCTTTTAGGATTCTGAGGCAATTTTTCATCCAGATATTGACCAGATTCAGACCTGCTTGGCTCCAGAAGAGTTGCTGTCCTGTATCTGCCTTGGATACAGATGACGGTTGGGCATTGGTTCCAGTATTCAATTCCATGAATCCCTCCTCTTCTCAATAGATCTGGACATTCTCACTGTCGTCTTCTAATCTAAGTCTTTCAGAGTCTCCACCTGGTGCTGCCGCAGTGCCATTGTACTGAGTGGCACATGCACATTCTTGTGTTTACTGCTTGCTGAAGATGAATTAATGTAAAGAGAATGGCTAGCATTTACCTTTGTTTATTTGTTTGTTTAATTACACAGAGAGAATTATAGAAGATCATGAAATGGTAATTGAGGTTCAGTCAAAATGGGGAATTGAAGAAAGCAATAGATTTTATTTTAGAAAAAATTATGCAAAATACGAGTTCTTCAAAAACCCTGAGGTAAGTTCTTCAAACACGTTGAGGTTGTGTATTGATTCAGTTAAATTGCTAACCTACCTCAACCTTTTACGTTTGGAATGGATACAACGTGATTATGATATCCAGTTGAAACAAATGTTTCTTGATGTCAAGGAGTATTATATGTCAAGGAGTATTATATACCTCCCCTTTCTAACACTAGATATATGTAGGCACAATCTTAAGACTGAGTGTGGGTCACAGGCATGCCAATGATGTGCTCTATCAGTGGTTTTTGGTATTTTGTTTTAAAATATTCAGCATCCAAACACTTTCCTCAAACTCAGATAGTTCCCAGTTCTTCAACAATGTAAAGAAATGTATTATATGGCCTTATTTCCAGTCCCAAAGGCTGTTTGTGTGCTTCCTACAAAAGTGTAGAATTAGCTAGAAGTTACTGTTTAGACCAGCCATTCTCAAATAGAAGCCATATCAGTCACTGGGGGACCCTGGCAGATTTGAAGGGGGCCACAGACTGAAACAGTTCTTCACCCACCACCACCTTACAAGGTCCACTATTTATTTATTTAAAATATTTTCACCTCGCTTTTCTCTCAAGGTGGCTTACTTCACTGAAAGACAGCTGAAAACAGTGAGCATAAACAGGCAGCTTGCATAATTAAAAAACAATATTGAAGCTAAAACAATGAGTATGGAAATACTAAAAAAGAACAAACACCATTCTGAAAGATGGTAAACACAAATAGTACTAGAAGCAAAAACAACGAGTATGGAAATACTAAAAAAGAACAAACGCCACTCTGAAAGATGGTAAACACAAATAGTACTAAAGACCCAGTCAGAGCAGTAATGTGTAACAATCTATCTAAAAGTCACTCATTGTAGCCAGCCGTGTAGCCAGTCATTCATGCAGGCAGTCACTAAGGCAAAGCTTGCCTGAAAAGAAAGGTCTTTGCCTGCTTGCAGAAGGACAGCAAAGATGGGGCCAGCTTGGTCTCCTGTGGGAGGGAGTTCCAAAGTTTGGGAGCAGCAACAGAGAAGACTGATGGTTGTTGTGGGTTTTTCGGACTCTTTGGCCGTGTTCTGAAGGTTGTTCTTCCTGACGTTTCGCCAGTCTCTGTGGCCAGCATCTTCAGAGGACTGGGGTAGTCCTCTGAAGTAGCTACTCCAGTCCTCTGAAGAGGCCGGCCACAGAGACTGGTGAAACATCAGGAAGAACAACCTTCAGAACATGGCCAAAGAGCCCGAAAAACCCACAACAATCATCAGATCTCAGCCGTGAAAGCCTTCGAGAATACAACAGAGAAGACTCTCTCCACCACCTGCAAAGGTGGTGGGACTGAGACGAATCCTCTGAAGTAGCTACTCCAGTCCTCTGAAGAGGCCGGCCACAGAGACTGGTGAAACATCAGGAAGAACAACCTTCAGAACATGGCCAAAGAGCCCGAAAAACCCACAACAATCATCAGATCTCAGCCGTGAAAGCCTTCGAGAATACAACAGAGAAGACTCTCTCCACCACCTGCAAAGGTGGTGGGACTGAGACGAAGGCCTCTCCTGATGATCTCAACGTGGGAGGCATGGCCTTTGGGATAGCTTGGACCCAGGCCATTTAGGGCCGGGTCCAATTGAATTGTGCCCAGAAATTGGTTGGTAGCCAGTAGAGCTGCTGTAACAGGGGGCTTACATGATCCTTGCAACCAGCCCCAGTCAGCAATTGGACTGCTGCATTTTGGACCCACTGAAGTTTCCTGACACTTTCTAGCGGTAGCCCCATATAGAATGCGTTACTGTAATCCAGTAGGGAAATAACTAGGGCATGTGTTACTGTGGCCAGATCAGATCTTTCCAGAAATTGACGTAGCTGGTGTACTATTTTTAATTGTGTGATGGTAGCCCCATATAGAACGCGTTACTGTAATCCAGCAGGGAAATAACTAAGGCATGTGTTACAGTGGCCAGATCAGATCTTTCCAGAAACTGATGTAGCTGGTGTACTATTTTTAATTGTGTGAAGGCACTCCTGGCCACTGCCAAAACCTGAGCATCCAGGCTCAGAGATGAAGCCAGGAACACCCCCCAAGCTGCCTACCTGTATTTTTTTGAGAGGGGAGTGTAACCCTATCCTGTAGGGGCTGCATCCCTCTTCCTTGATCTGCCTTTTGATTGACCAGAAGCACCTCTGTCCTGTCTGGATTAAGTTTCAGTTTATTCACCCTCTTCCAGTCCATTACTGATATCTAACACTGATTAAGAACCGAAACAGCTTCCTCCGATTTAGGTGGCAAGGAGAGGTAGAGTTGGGTATCATCTACATATTGGTGACACCAATCCCCCAAATTCTGGATAATCTCTCCCAGTGGTTTCATGTAGATGTTAAATAACATAGGAGATAATAACAAAATAACAGAACCCCGAGGAACCCCACAGGTCAGTGATCAGGGTGTCAAACACGAATCTCTCAGCATCACCTTCGGAGTTCTCTCCTCCAGGAAGGGCTGGAGCCACGGCAAAACAGTGCCCCCCCCCAAGTCCCATTCCAGAGAGACTGGTCAGGAGGATACCATGGTCAATAGTATGGAAAGGTGCCGAGAGCTCCAGCAAAATCAACAAGTACTATAACCCCCTGCCACTCTTAGCATGGTGAGGCAGTAAGTTGTGGTAGAATGAGGACTTTATTGGGAACATGGAAAGATGATGCATGAACACATGTTCTTGCAGAGTCAAGACCCTGCAGGGTGTGGGGGTGCTGGAGCTCCTTCCAGCCCCAAGCCCTTCTGGCCAATAGCAGAATCTAGTCCAGGGCCGCCCCCTGGAGGTTGGTGGCCCTTCCAGTCCATGTGCCCCTCTGACTTGCAGAGGGAAGAAACAGAAATGAATGTCTCTGCAGCCTCAGACCCCTTCAAGCTCTCAGTTCCAATGTTGGCTTGGCTCCTCCCTCGAGCCTCTGACCTTTCTCCCGGCAACGGAGTAGTCCCCTAGCTGGCCAGGACTTACTTCACTCCCTGGTTAGCTAAGCAGAAATGTCCACATAGAGAAAACTGCTCAATTAGGGCAGGCAGGACCCCCTCCTGGCTTCTCTCCAGTCCAGGGAGCCAGCTTGAGGAAGCAACTGGGGAAGGAGGGGAGCCAAGGCCATGGTCTCTCCTTCCCAGCCCTCTTGCTTACCCTCTCAGGGTCTGGACACCACGTTATCAGCCTTCCTGGGTTGGCAAGGACATCCAGCTCCTCTTCTGGCAACGAGGCTTCGTTCTTGGCAATGAGGAATTCCAGGGCATCCTGCCAAGGGTCAGCGTGTTCTTCCTCTCCCAAGCTCTCCTCTCCTCCTCCTATTTTGAGCCCTGCAGAGCATCTTCCCCCTCTTTGTGATGTGTCTGGCCCTTACTTTTCTCCATGGGCCCAGGTGTTTGGAATGGGGAGAGCATTTCTCCTGTCATAGGAGGCTGACCGCTCTGCCAGCCAGGCTCACACACCCCTCTCCAGTTCCCAGTGTAGGTCACCCACCAAGGCGACCAAAGCTGTCCCATAACCAAGCCTGGAGCCAGATTGAAATGGGTCTTGATACTCTGTCTCCTCCAGGAACCTCTGGAGATGAGAGGCCACAACCCGCTCTGGCACCTTCCCCAACAATGGAATATTAGATACTGTTTGGTAATAGTTCAGTATTATGGGATCCAAATAGGACTTTTTTTAAACAGTGTTCTTACTATTGCCTCCTTTAAGTAGGATGGGTTTCTCTCCTGTTGCAATGATGCATTCACCACTCCTCCTACCCACTCAACCTGTCCCTTTCTCACCGCTTTTATGAGCCAGGAAGGGCAAGGATCCAGCAGACATGTGGTAGCTCTCACTTCCCCAAGTATCCTGACCATATCATCAGGCTACAGAAACTGAAACTCATCCATTAACACAGGGCAAGCAGGGACCATAGTTACATTCACAGGACTGAATCAACTACAGCGTCCCAGTCAGAGCTGTAGACATCCTTCAGCCTCAAGAGACTATGGTAATGTGCTCTGTATGGAGGACTTGGAACAGTGTCTAGTGTGGCTGAGAAGGCCAATTCAAGAGTGACAGTCCCTTCCACACTGAAGACAAATACAGTCTGTCCCCTGTGCAGCTCCCTGATTTTGCTGCTTTCGGGACTGCCTCTTTGCCTCAGCCTGCTGGACAAGCGTCTCTTCAAATCAGGAGGGGCCATGATGCACCATCTGCCTCCAGGCTGAATGCTCAGATGTCAAGGTTTCCCATCTGTTGAGATCCATGTCTAAGGCCTTCAGATCCGGCTTGCAGATATCCTTGTATCGCAGCTGTGGTCTCCCTCGGGGGCGATTTCCCTGCACTAATTCTTCGTACAGGAGATCTTTTGGAATCCGACCGTCAGCCATTCTCATAACATGCCCAAGCCAACATAGATGTCGCTGTTCTCAGAGCAGATCTGAGCAATTTTGTGTGCAATATGTTGTGCAAATTCTTCACAGCAAGTTACAGTGTGGTCTGCATTATTTTTCAGGGGGCCATCATGTAGCAGACCCTTGACCATTCAGAAAATCTCAACTAGGCAATTCTATGTTGATACAGTGGTGGCAGAAAAGAATGACTTCTTTGCCGTTTCCATTGCCATGGAATAGGCCTTCCAATAGACCCTAGCTCGTGTTTGATCAGATTCACTCTGAGTTTTCCTCCACCATTGCTCAAATCTACGTCCCACTTGTTTCATCGCCACCCATTAGTTTGGCTCTACTTTGTGGGAGGAGACCTTTAGGAGCAATCATGTCAATGGGTTTTGCCATTTCCCCACTCCAGAGATCAAGCAGGGATTCAACAGAGAGAGAGAACATCCCAAGGGCAACCAGGAAACCATTGGGATCCATCAACCTCCTGGGTCATATTGCCTTAGTCTAACCCCCACCCTTGCAAAGGCTCTGCATTCCAATGAGTGCAAATTGCACCCGATCATGGTTTGTCCATGACAATGGAACTACAGAAAGTTCCTTCACGCCCAGGTCACCAGAGTCTGTGCCGATACAGAAGACTAAGGTGGTGGTCTAAGGTGCAGCCTGCAGCATGGATGGGGGCAGATACCCTTTGGAACAAACCCATGGTCGCCATGGAGGTCATAAAGTCTTGAGCCACCCCTGACAGAGCTTCCTTGGCATGGGTGTTGAAGTCCTCCAGCATGATAAGCCAAGGGGACTCCAACACCACCCTTGAGACCAGCTCAATTAGCTCTGGAAGAGAGGCAGTTGTGCCACAGGGTGGGTAGTACACCAAGAGAATCCCATACACAATCCTGATTTGGCTTGTATTTCTTTCATAATGTGTTTATGGCCATGGCCAAAAAAAAAAAAAAAAAGGTTGAGACTGACTGGTTTGGACTACAAATCGCAGCATCCTAGGCAGTACAGTGGGGTCTTGACTTGAGAACTTAATCCGTATTGGAAGGCGGTTCTCAAGTCAAAAAGTCTGTAAGTCAAGTCTCCATTGACCTACAGTGCATTGAAAACCGATTAATCCCGTAACAGGCCGTTTTTGTTCCATTTTGGTTTTTTTCTGGTCTGTAAGTCAAATCTCAGTCTGCAAGTCAAACCTAAATTTTGCGGCCAGAGAAGTTTGTAACTCGGCTGGTTTGGACTACAAATCGCAGCACCCTAGGCAGTACACCCAGTGGCCATACTGGCTTGCATGATCTTGGCAACTGTGACACTTTTAAGCTCTGTGAAAGAGCTTCTGTTAATAGGACGCAAACTGAAACCAAAGCTAGATGATTTGAACTGTGTTTATGATCTGTATGTATATATGAAAATTCCTGCTGATCCTTCTGTTAATTTGTCTTTGTTGAACAGAACTTTTTCCCTGAACATTTGGTGTCCTTCTCAAATGAGATCAATGGAAGGCTGAGCCATACTCAGATATTGCAGGTGAGACATGGGTGTTTAAAATGTGGCAGGCTGAACACTGCAAGCATCGCCTTTCTGGACAGAATGAAGAGATTAACATGGCCCATTGATGGGGTAGCAATGTGTCAAGGAATGCCCTGCCCCTCTTTTTCATTATAGAAGTGATTTTAGGAAAGGGGAGTTTAAGGGAAGTTGCAGCAACTTTTAGATCCAAAATCAGCAGTTGCTTACATGTTCTTTCATCATGAGAATTCAGTTCAGCAATGGCTTATTATTGGCGTTTTAAAATGGATAGCTGGAAGATATTATTGAAAGTATTATAGGAAGTTTATATTAAAGCTAAATGAATGAATTACTGGACCAAAGTATGGCCCAGTATTCCCTTTATGGTTACATTTGGCTCAGCATGATGTATTGTTACGATCAACTTCATTCTTTTGAAATGTGTTAAGAAAAAAGAAACGGCTGGGTTCCTTAGAGACCTAGCAGGGAGACTTGTATTAATGGCATCACATTCTGAGCAGATTCTAGCAATTATTTATCGCAGTTGGTGGGAAACCTATGAGGCTTCTAAAGTTGTTGGGCTTCAACATCCATCATCTCCAGCCAGTATGGTTGGTGCTCTGAGCTGATACAGGCTTTAGTTAAGCAACGTAAAGAGGACCACAGATTTCATATCCCTGGTTTCTGATACTGTTATGCAAATCTATCAATCTAATCTAATCTAATCTAATATCTTCCTCCAAAAAGGTTTTCTAGGCAAGTCAAAATTTAAAAAGACCTGAGCTAGGATGTTACTGGGTCTTTATGCTGATGGAAGAATCCTGACAATGCATATCAGCAGAGATAATGCATCCCTTGTATACTTTTAGTGGGAGTGTCTTTCTCTTTTGTTCTCCTTCAATTTTCTGATGTACTAAACACTACTATGTGAGGCTGGCTCAATAGCTCAGTGGTTTAGAGATCTGGCTACAGAGCCAGAGGTTGGGAGAGGTTGGGAGTTCGATTCCCTGCTGGTACTCTTGCAAGTTGAGCCATCCTAGGTGGCCTTGGGCAGCCTGCATAGTCCCAGGATATCCCCAGAAAAAGGGAGTGGTGAACCACTTCTGAGTATTTTCCACTTGAAAAACCCAGAAAAGTGTTGCCATAAGGAACTGACTTGATGACATGCAATTATTATTATTATTCAAAGATACCAGGCACAGTCAATTAAAATTATGAAAACATTGACTGGTACTAGATAACAGATAAAAGTTTTAATCAAAAACCTAAGTGTCTGTTAAACATTGGCACAGTATGCCTGTGAAGATTCTCAGTATCCAGATGAAGTTATCTGAAAGTTGAGTCATGGCAACTGGACTTCTTTCTTATTAGGTTGAAATGTTTTGCTACTGATCCAAGTAGCTTCTTCAGTCTACTCTCATGAGTAGTGAAACGTTTCAATCTAACAAGAAAAAAGCCCAGTTGCCATAACTCAACTTTCAGATTGGCACACTATGTATGCTGTTCCTAATATTGCCAGTTTTTTGTAGCTCTGATGGTGTAATTTCTGAGATCTGCAGCTGCTTATAGTACTCTGTGAACTTCCTTGATATTGTTCCCAAAGCCCTGAAGATGATGGGGGGGGACCACTGAGGTATGTTTCATCCACAAGCGTAATGTTTCGATTGCCAGGTCTCTGTACTTTGTTAGTTTTTCCAATTCTTTATTTTCAACTCTGGCATCCTTTGGAGTTGCAATGTCAATGATCCAAACATTTCTTTGTTCCATTACTACTATATCTGGTGTGTTATGTTCAAGGGGTCTGTCAGTTTGAATCTGGAAATCCCACAATTTCTGTGAAATCTCAGAAACTGTCCTGTGTTTCATTCCAATTGACACCTGAATTAACACAAACATTCCCAGAGCTTGGAAAAGTTCCTCTTTTGGGCAACAGCTCTCCTTCTTCCAAACTGGCACAGCCATGGCACAAGTAAAGCTTTCAAGTTCTAGGCTTTGCAGAGATAATACTTCTGGCTGTTAATCAAACTGAAAACTCTGCCGGAGTTCATCAGCATGCTAAAGGAGCAGAGTTGGAGGAAGTTATGTTTCGAAAGACAGTACCCAGCATACCATCAGGCAACATGACCACTGAACATGGCGGCTGGGGAATTCTGGGAATTGTAGTCCAAAAAAAGAAAAAAAACCATCTATTAGGATGTGATAGATAAGGATGCATTCCAATTGAATACATTAAAATTTTTTCCCCTCTCTCTTTCAGATGTTTTTAAGTTCCAGTACATGTCCTGAAATTCACAGTTATTTACATGCTAAAGAGCAAGGGAAAAAAACCTGGAAAAAGATGTACTTTTTGTTGCGAAGATCTGGTCTGTATTTTTCCACTAAAGGGACATCAAAGGTAAGATTGGCAAAGCTATGGCAGAAATAAGTGCCTGCCATAAACGTTTCTTGCAGAGGAATCGTTTTGTAACCTTGAGTCTGCAGGATCCCCAAATCAAAGCTTTACTTCCCTCAGTTTTTATTCCTCTCATTGCAGAACACCTGGAAAGGAGAGGGAGAGGGATAAACCTTCCAGTGGTGGTAGGGACTGGGCTAGAATTTCTTTCCAGAACCAGGTTAAATGAAAGCCACTTTTTAAAAGCTGTGAAGTTGATTTGCAAATTGAATCCTTAGCATTTCCTTTTAAAATTGTTCCTCCTGAAACATGGCATCCTTCTATTAGAAATGCACACCAAACACACAAACGCACAATGGTGTCCGTCCAGTCATAGGGTTCAGCAGATTTCCCTCTTATTTGATCAATTGTTTGTTTGATCTGACGTGGTGGAGCATTCTTTGGCACTGCCCTTCTTTGGGATTGAGATGTAGACTGATCTTTTCCAGTCCTCTGGCCACTGTTGAGTTTTCCAAACTTGCTGGCATATTGAATGTAGCACCTTAACAGCATCATCTTGCTCCTGCAAACCTAGCAGTTTGAAAGCATGTAAAAATGTGAGTAGATAAATAGGTACCACCACAATGGGAAAGGTAATGGTGTTCCGTGGCTAGTCTCGCTGGCCACATGACCACGGAAACTGTCTACGGACAAATGCTGGCTCTATGGCTTGGAAACGGGGATGAGCACCACCCCCTAGAGTTGGACATGACTGGACAATTTGTCAGGGGGAACCTTTACCTTGTTTGATTTATACACTGCCCCATCAGTCGTTGTGTTTTGCCAGTGGAAGACAAGTTGTTCCTCCTTCAGGTGCCTTTGCATTGGGCTATGGAAACCCTCACCACCCTTCCTATGCCAGGATTTAATATTTCCTTTTCATTTAAATAATTAAATAATCTGCTGTTCATATTTCAGCAGCAGTACTGGCAAAAAAGGAGGCATTTCGAAGGCATGCCATTGTCAGCTGGGGGAGGCCTTGGCTGTGGGCGAGCTAACACCCACCCAGAACAATAAAATGATCAACTGGTGCGTTTTCTCCTCACCTCCTTCCTTGCTTCCTTTCCTTCCATCCTTATTTCCATTTTTGTTTTGTTTTGAAGGGAGATGCTCCATAGCAGTGCAGGAGAGCACATTATTTGTAAACAGAGGAGCTGAAGTTTGGTCCTTGGAGTTCCTAGTTAATTTGACTGGGACTGGCTTATGAATGTGATCACGGAGAGAGACTGTACATTGGCACAGAGAGCATTGGGCCAGGTGGCATGAATTTGGAGCCCACTCTGTTTGAGAATGTCCTGATGTGAAAAGACTTTGGAGCTTCAGGATTCATCAGGACTAGTTCAGTTCCCCCCCCCCAAAAAAAATCTATATGGACATACAGTGAATTATCAGTCTTGTGCCATGCTTTTAAAGTGAAGGATTACATATTACTATATCTTGATTCTAGCTGAAACATAATGAGTGGAATCTTTTAGTATATTTATGCCAGCCTAAGTGCGATGGCATAAATTGTGACAGCTAATTGCTGCCAGTTAATGAGTCACTGCTTGCATTCCTTGCCATGTCCCAGTGAGAAATGCAAGCATTAATTAGTAGCTATTTGCTTCTGTTATTTTTGCCATTCATTGCACTCATGCCAGTGTAAATAACCAATAGGATCCTGTCTAATAACCCATAGTTTTCATATCCATAGTTTGCTTTTTTAAAGCTGAATACTAGATATTGTGGCTTTGCCCTCGAAAAACTTTGGTGGGTTGGGTGGAAGGCCACTTACTGTACTTCTTCATGCTCCTTTCCTCTAGAAATCCCTTTGCTCCCCTCTGAAGCCTCTTCTGAGGTGTAAAGGGCCCTCCTGAATAGTTTGAACCTTGACCTAGGAGGTTGATGAGGAATGGTAGATGACGGAAAATCAGTAAAGGCACATTCGTCCCCACACCACCGCCTACTCTAATCAGAAGGGTCCATTAAACCTCAGTAGGGCTGGGTTGGGGTGTGGCTGATGGAACAAAGGAATCACCTGCTACCCATTTACTCCTGTTTTCTCTTTTTTTTCTGTTCAAGCATTTGTTGCACTCTTTCCCACCCCAAATCTCTCAAGTGAATTTTTTTTTTAAAAAAATTTTTTTTAGCATCCAGGGTGTAAACCTAGGTGGCTTTAAATATACATCTTTGGTGTTGATGATCACATAATCAGTTTTCACTACTTTATCTAAAGTACTTTTATGTTGGTGCCCAGTATCGTATCTACAGTTGCTTCTGAGTTCATTAGGATTGCCTGCTTTTGGAAACTAACAGATGAAAATCAGATTGACAGATCTTTTGACGCTCTGTGGCTTCACGGAATATTTTGTCTCTTCTGTGTGCCTAGACCAGGAGTGGAGAACCCAGGAACCTTTTAGACTACTGCTCCTTATGAGCCTTTACCATTCACCATTCTGGCTATGGCTTCTGGGAGCTGAAGTTCAAGACATTGGGGCTCGGTGTCAAAGGATCTTTTATTTTCCTGTTGTTTCTCTTTGGGAATCATATATGTTCTGTAGACTGGTCATTTTGCATTTTTACCATCGTCATTGTTCAGTCGTGTCCGACTCTTTGTGACCCCATGGACCAGAGCACAGCAGGCCCTCCTATCCTCCACTGCCTCCCGGAGTTTGGTCAGATTCATGCTGATTGCTTCGATGACACTGTCCAACCATCTCATCCTCGGTCGTCCCCTTCTCCTCTTGCCTTCACGCTTTCCCAACATCAGGGGCTTTTCCAAGGAGTCTTCTCTTCCCATGAGATGGCCAAAGTATTGGAGCCTCAGCTTCAGGATCTGTCCTTCCAGTGAGCACTCAGGGTTGATTTCCTTTAAAATTGATAGGTTTGTTCTCCGTGCAGTCCAGGGGACAATCAAGAGCCTCCTCCAGCCGGCTAGAGTAGTCTTATAGGCCAGATGGGCGGGGTATAAATAAAATAAAAAAAAATCAAATCAAATCAAATCAAATCAAATCAATCAATCAATCAATCAATCAATCAATCAATCAATCAATCAATCAATAA